AATTTAGAGCATTCTCCTGTTTATAAACATTTTCCCAAGTTTTTGTTATATAAAAAAATGTATTGCAGAGTGCTTTTTATGCTTATTGCATTGTGTGTACACACAAGGCTTTGTGTAGCATAAATAATGTAATAAGTGGGCTACATGAAGTATAGGTTCTATCCATTTTATTTAAATTATTATCCAACAAATGTACTGTCTCAATCACTTTCCTATCACAAGGACATATGACCGAATATCTACCATTTAAAGAAGGAAAAATTTGTATGGTTCACAATTTCTAATGGGTTTAGTCCACAGTTAGCTTGTCCCTACACAGAAATGCATGGATGAAAAACATGATGAGGAACAGTAGTTCATCCTGTGGTAGCCAGGAAGCAGAGAGAAAAGGAGAAGCCTGGGACAAAACTACACCTTCCAGATTATGCTTGGAGTGACCCAGCTCCAGTCAGGTTCCACTTCCTAACAGTCCATGAATTACTGAACTCACCGATGGTTAAATGCAATGGTGGCTATAGTGCCCTGAGGATCCAACCACTTTCCAAGCACATAAGACTTCTAGAAGACAGGTTAGGTCTAAACCATAACTTCCACCTCTGACCTTCCACAAAGTCATATTATTATGAAAAATACATTTAGTTTCTCTCTAAGACTCGACAAAGTCTTAACAGTTCCAGCATTGCTGAGAAGTCCAAGTTCAAAGACTCTTTTGAGACTCAAGTCAAACTCTTAGCTGTGAATCTCTGTAAAAATTAAAAAGAAAGTGCATACTTGCAACATACAATGGCATGGGGCAAACATTTCCATTTAAAAAGGGAAAAGTTGTAGGATTGAAAGGACCAAAGCAAGATTGAAACCCAGCAGGGAAAACATAAACTCTATGGTTCCTTGTACACTATATACACACACTTGAACATTTTCTTGATCTGATAGTTAATCTGATAGCATCCAAATGTTGTGTTAGTACTTTTCCTGAACACTAGTGAGGTCAGGAAGACTTTTGGACATTTACTGATGTTGTATCGTCTTCTCTGTTAGTTAATTGGCCCATTTTCCTAGTGACTTTTTAAAATGTTTTACACAGATTATATCAAAAATTATTATGTTATACAATTTCAAACATTTATTTAAGTCGAATTTTTCTTAGGTTTTTCTTTTTCTTTTCTTTTCTTTTTTTTTTTTTGGCGGAACAAGGGATTGAACTCAGGCCCTTGTGCTTGCCAGGGAAGTGCTTATTCTACCGAGCCATTTCCCCAGCCCCAAACTTGAGATACACTTTTTTTTAGGGGGTGACGGCTTTGGTTCAGGGAAGGTCTGGTAACGCTTGAGGATCTGGGGATTGAACCACAGCACCCTGAGCCTGACTGCTTTGTTTAAGCAGGCACTTAAACAACTGAGATAATGGGCAGAACCCCTTTCTTAGGTTTTTGATATCTTTTGGTCTCATAGAACTTTGACTTTTGATGGAAAGAATTACCATTTTTAGTCTTTTTTCTTTTTTTTTGTGTGTGTGTGTGTGTGTTTTGTCACACTGCTAAATATTAAACCATTGGAAAGACTTATTCAAAGGGATAGAAAAGAAATATGTCTGCTGATACAATAAGTTGTGATGCTTTGCTCAAGGCAATCATTGATTCACTCCGGCAAATATTTATCAAACACTCTGACAGGTGTTCAAAACAGAATAACGTGGAAAATATACATGGACATGGCTCTCTTCTGAGATCCCCTTCTGCCAAGCTATGCTGCTTTGGAGCCTGCTGTTTATGCACTGAAACCTCTACAAACTGAGCTAAACAAAACTTTCCTCCTTTAACTTTGGCTGTCAGGTATTTTGTCACAGCCAGGAGAGAAGAGTAGCTGACACAATGACTTACTCTGGTTTCTTCAGCTTTTCCCGACGTCTGTCTTCTGTCCCAGGATGCCATCTGGATGTCACATATCACATCTGTACTCTCCCTTAGCTGTGATAGTTTCTCAGACTTTCTTGTCTTTGAAGATCTTGACGGTTTTGAAGATGACTCAGATGAGAATTTGTGAAACATTCCTATTTGGAATAGGTCTGATGTTTTCCCCTTAAACAGATTGGGGGTAGTGGTTTCTTTGAGAGAAAAAACAACTGAAGGCAAGTGTCACTCTTATCACCTCGTATCAAGGACACGTGCTGTTAACATAACTCAGTGCTGATGTTAACTGTGGTGACCCAGCGTGAAGTAATGTTTGTCAGATGGCTCCACTGAAAAGTTGCTATTCGTTTCTCCATTTCCATGCTGGACACTTTGGAAGAAGGTCACTGTGCCTGCTTACTGGAGGAGCAGAGTGGAGGGGGTAGCCTTGCTCTGCTTCCTTAAGAGGAAGAGATCAGTAGTATAAATTATTTGGAATTCTTTTGCATGGGAAATGGTCTGTTTTCTTCCATTTGTTTACTCAATCATTTATTTACATCAGCATGGACTCATGGATTTTTTTTTTTAGTGCTTTGGGTTATAATCCAGTACTCCTTTATTTATTTTGTTGCTCAAATTATTCCAGTTTTGGATATTAGGAGATCTCTCATTTAATTTCTGAATCCCTTTGACATGTTTCTATCCTTTTTGTGTGTATGCTTCTTAGCTACTCCAGGTTGATCATAGATGATTTTTGCCTCAGTCCTAGTATCAACCATTTTTCTCAAGGAACCTGGTTCCTAGGATTTGGAGAATGGTATTAGAAACCAAGATCTGAGGGCTGGCCAAATAGCTCAGCAGATGAAAGTGCCTGTAAGCAGGTGCAGGGGCTGGGGGTTCCATCCTCCAGCCTGCCATGCCAGCCCCACCCCTGGGGCATGCTGAGACAGCAATTGAGACTGGGCGTGGTGGCATGAGCCTGTAATCCCAGCTCTTGGGAGGCTGTAAACAGGAGGATCACTAGGAGTCCGTCTAGTAGGGAGACCCTGAACACCCTGTCAACCCTTCCCTAAAATCCATAAAATAAAATAAAAAACAAGTTAAAGAAATCAAGATCTGGGTGCTAGGTGTGCTCGTTGTTGCTGGGTACTCATTGCTAGGATGCTGTTGCCCTATGAGTAGATCAAGCAAGGCGGATACTGTCATAGATACACAAATGAATATAAGTACTTTCTTATGCATATCTCTGTATCTTTATTAAAAATATTGGTATCTCCATACCTAATCTATTATCACATGACTTTTGTGAAGCGAAATTATATATGAGATATGATTGAAAAATTCAGCATGAGTGTAACACTTTAAAGTCATGAATGCAAAAGACACATTGCCATCAATTCCTTTTCAAACACACTTGTCCTCTCACTCTTGCCACTTCCTGAAGCAGTCCTGGGAGACCTCTTCTGTGTGTATCTTTAGTTGTACTGTTATGGCTGCCCGGATGTCTTTAACTGACTCAAAACGTTTACTTTTCATGCCATTTTTTCCCCATAATTTTATTGAGAAAAAAATAGCAATGAGACAATTTCAAACAAAATTGGTAGGACAGTTTCAATAATTAACACATTGCATACATTCTTCCTAGTGGTTAATTGTTGTACAAGATGCAGACATGATATCCTATTTACAAACACTATTAGAACAAATCCCTCTATTCATCAAGAGAATGTAACTATATATCTATCCCAACCATTTTGAATACACAGATACAAAATGGACATTCATCTGTATCCCCCCTTTTTTTTTGCTAAGTTCCATTATTTGAATATTATAGGTGTGTTATCTCAGCAAAATATTCTAAAAGAGTCCAGTAGTCCATTATAGTATTGAGTCTTCCACTTCACTGACAATGTCAGAAATTGTTGACCTGAGTTCCCTACAGCTCAACATAAAAGCATGGCTTTACTTCTTATGCTTCGTTTTTATACTTTTCTGCTGGATGGTTAAGACCAAGGTAAAGCAGGACCTGTGCAACAAGAGTTGTAGCTTTTGGGTCTGATAAGGTCAGTGAAATCCCCTCAGGATTTATGCTGAGATCCTGTACCTTAGACTGTAGATCCTTTGTCAGTGTCAGCCATGTGGATGAGTCACGGCCAATGCTTGGCCAATGTGCTCTCTGTGAAAGCCTGAGAGAGTGTTTTCTCCCCATGTGACTCTCCTTAGGCACACTCTACATCATCGATCACTTTCCTCTTTGGCCCCATAATCTCCTTGATCAGAAAATTTGGGACACTACTGAGTTACATGACATTACAGTACAAGTTCTCATATGCATGCCATTTTGACTTTGAGAAAGACCCAGAAGTTACAAGAGGCCACATCCAGTGAATAAGGTGAGTGAGGACACACCATGATATTTTGTGAGCCTGCTTTTTTGTTGGATGGCACTTGCCAGCAACATTCACTGTGATTTTGATTAGACCTCATAAAGACACGTACAAAGGAGGACGTCCAGAACTGTGTCAGAAACAGGCAAGAATGAGGGGATAAGTGCCTTTGAAGAGAAGAGGGTATTTTGAGTGGGAATATAACAATGTGTCTTGTACTGCAATAAACTTTTAAAAAATTCTAAGCATTCACCATATATTTTGATCATGTCATATATAATCCCAGCTACCACCTGAGAACTAGTGACTCAGGAAGAATGCTAAAAGTTTATATTTTGAATGACTAATGCATTAAATTTATTGAGTATTTTTCTTGGTCTCACATGGGAATCAATAGTGAAATTATGACAGCATCAGTTGATGTCACAGATATAAATTTTACTTAACCATCATTTGCCATTTGGATGTTTGCCTCAGAAAATGTTGTCATCTGACTATATTTTTGCCAATTTTAGTACAATGCATGTGCCTGTGCAATGCAGTTTGACAATTCTTGTATTAGGTGATTATTGGATGTACAACTCAAGCCTCCCAAGTCAACGGCTTGATGTTCTAAATACAGAACACAAAATTAGCTATGAAAATTGTGTTGCCGTGCTGCTGGTATCAGCCTTTCTCATTTCCTCTCTTTCTCTTTCTGTTTCCTGGCATTATTGGTGGACCACAGGCTCCAGTTCCGATCCCACCTTCTGAGATGACGCTGCCCCCCAGGATGCCCTTGGTGCTGCTTCTGCTGCTGCCTATCTTGAATTCTGCAAAAGCTCAGGTCAATCCAGGTAATGCTGGAACCCAGCTGCATTTCAAGCCCATCAGTGTTCATATTGGGAAAAGCAAAGCAAATGGGTTCAAGAGTTTGATTTTGTTTTTTGACCTCTGTGGTGCAACATGGCCAAACCAGAAACAGAAAATGAGATGCTTTCTCCCTCCTTTCTCTCCATATGTGGCACACTGAACATTGTGTATTTCTGATATAAAGTTGGGTATAGTAAAAACATTTTTAAAAATGGGAAATGGAAGGGGTGATCCTTTGGTTCATCCTCTGGGCAAAACTAGAGGGAACCTTAAGATGCCTTAGAGAACTTCTTTATTTTTATTTTTATATTTTTCTATAATTTTATTGAGAAACAAATAGCAATGAGACAGTTTCAAATCAAATTGGTAGGACAGTTTCAATAATTAGCACATTGTATACTGTCTTCCTAGTGGTTATTTGCTGTACAAGATGCAGACATGATATCCTATTTACAAACACTATTAGAACAAATCCCTCTATTCATTAAGAGAATGTAACTGTGTATCTAAATGTAACCATTTAGAGAACTTCTGAAAACTGGGTTTTCACTTGTTTCTGTCTGACTTAGGCCTAGATTTTACTGTATTTAGGTGTTCTGCTTTGTTTTGGCTGCACTGTCTGGGGATCTCAGAGAGACACCCTTTCTTATAGATATGTAGGAGGACTCTTCTAAGTCCAAATTTGTTCTTTTTTTTTTTTTTTGTATTGCATATAGTTTTGAACTTTAATCTGAAGTACAAAATGATATCATTTGTCTCCTATACAAGAATGGATCTTAACAACCTGAGGCTCAGTGCATTAAAACACACATTTATTTTGCTTCTGAGCTTGTAGTTTGATGGCTTCTGCAGCGCTTGGTTGGACGGTCCTCTCCTCCGTCTTGGTTCACTTGTGTGTCTGGGAGCAGCTGTCTGTTGGCTCCACTAGGTTGGTCTTGGCTCTTCCAACTGGGCAACTTGAGTGTTTTCTGTTTCATCCTTTAACAGGCCAGCCTGGGTATGTTTTCATAGAAATGGCGCAGGAGCAGAAGCAGAGCAGGAATGTGGGAGCATTTTTCAAGTCGCTGCTCAGATTACGCTCCTTAAAATCTCACTGGCTGAAATAAGTCATGTGGCCATGCTCAGAGTCAGAGTGGGACGATACAAAAACTCTCTGTGAGAAAGGACTGTATTGAAGCAGGGAAGAAGAATGAGAGCATTTCGTTTTCATTCTACTTCATGTCATTCACAAATATAAATATGGAAGTATATGTAGCTTAGGTGCTTCATTTAATGAATTCTATGGAATGAGCACTTCCATATAAACATTACCCACATCAGGAAACAGAAGTTAATTAGCATTTCAAAGCCCTCTTCATGCTCCTTTCTAATTGCTTCACTCTCACACAAATGATAGCCAGCATCTGGCTTTTTAGCAACATAAATCAGTTGTTTTATTTTTGCCACTGGTGTGTGGGGTCAGCGGGTGTTTACCAGGAATAGAACTCAGGACCTTACACTTGCCAGGCAGGTACTGTGTACCACTGATCTAAATCCCAGGCTCCTGGCACACACATGTCTATTTCACATTTTATATAAAAGGACTTACATGATGCATAAATGCTCTGTAGCTGGCTTTTTTGCTCAACATTTTGCTTGTGATATTCAGCCTATTGTTGCTGTTGTTCATCTTCACTACTGTAAGATGTTACCTTGAACCTTTTATACAGCCAGTCTGCCACGGATGAGAATTCAGATAATTTCCCATTTAGCTCCAGGAGGAATAAAACTCCTATATCAGGAAAATACTTGCATAGCGTTTTTAGTGGAGATACATACCCAGTTCTTTTTAGGTTTGTGTCTAGAAATGTAATTTCTGGCTTTCTGGTTATCATTTGATCTACTCTTCTGTATCATGCCAAAGAGTTTTCGAAAGTGGTTTTACCAAATTACCAGCCCACAATTGTATACCGAGTTCAGCTGTTCCATTTAATTGTATTTGAATTCTTGAGGGCACTTTTGTTTTATCTTTTTCATAGCATTGGTGTACATTTGCAAAAATATTTGCACTTCACCTCCTTATAAAGATCCCATGTCTATGTGCTATTCTTTATACCCTCAATAGGAAGTACAATCAAAAGTCCTTAAAAATGAATAAATCCAGTGCCTTGTTATTTTCTAGCAATGAGTTTAGCTGATGCATCTGAGATCTGAACTTGGACACCACTCTTCCAGTTTTCTGTCCTGTGTTTCTCTTACCCAGGAATGAGGTCTGATTGCTTTCTTCTACATTCCCCTGCTCTGATCCAAGGTGCTGCAAGTGCCCGGAGTGGTAGGATGTTTTGGTACTGGGAAGGCTCAAGGAGACTGGCATTCCATGAAGGCATTTAATGATTACACCAAAAGAGTTGGCCTTGTATGATAGAATACACAACACAGCACTGCAGCAGGATAGGAGCCATTTGAAAACAGCAAATATCTTTACTTTTTACTTATTTATGGTGCTAAACATTTTATGTTTTTTTCTCTGGCAGGGGCAAAAAAGTAATAGAGGTCACAGTTTATAAAGATCTTTATAGGAACATGAAGTATAGAAGGCAGAGATGATACTTTTTCTTTAAATTGTGTTTAGTAAAATTTAAAGAATTTGTCTCCAGGGTCTCACTACATAGATCGGATTTGTAGTGCTCCACCTGTGTTCAGCCTCTCAAGAGCTGGGTGGAGTGGGTGCTACCATGCCCAGTCTCAGTTGGGGGTGGGGCTGGCATGACATGCTGGGGATCAAACTCTGGCTGCTGCACTCTGCCTAAGCAGGTACTTTAATCTGCTGAGCTATTTGACTGGCCCCAAAGAAAGTGTGCTGTTCTATAGGCATTTGTTTTTCACTGGGGGTTGAACTCAGAACCTTGTGCTTGCCAGGCAGGCACTTATGCCCCTGAGTTATTTCCTCAGCTCTAAGAGATGAAACTTTGAAGCAGTTGAGGTAGTTGCACTGGTAATCAGAATTAAAGGGTGTAGTTACAATGCTTGAGTCTCATGGAATCATCCGGTGTGCTTACTGCTGCACAAACAGTGATATATAATAAATGTATATTGATTTTAAGAGTGACCTTTGAGGAATTCTTACTGGTGTCTACTGACACACTGAAGGTAACTGGTAGTCTTGGAAGGTGACTGAAGATATTTAGAGACTGAAACGCTCTTGGCCAGGTTTTCCCACAGGGTGTTCACGTGGAACTTAAGTCAGATCTGGTTTACAAGCAAGATGAATATATAGTAGATGTTAAAATATTTGAATGTGCTTTATTGATTATTGAGTATAAAATATTAGTTGGCAAATAGTAATCAAACTGACCATTAAATTCAATTAATGACATAAGGGCTGGGGAGATAGCTCAGTAGAATAAGCACCTGCCTGGTAAGTACAGTACAATCCCTGGTACTGAAAAAAAAATTAATGATATAAAATAAATCCCATCAGGCCAGCCAGATAGCTCAGTGGACTGAAATGCCTGCTTGGCAGAGTGCAGCACCTGGGGTTGGATCCCCGGCATGTTGTGCCGGCCCCACCCCTGGGGCATGCTGAGACAACATTTGAGACTGGGTGTGGTGGTGTGTGCCTATAATCCCAGCATTTGGGAGGCTGAAAACAGGAAGATCATTATGAGTCTGAACTGTGTAGTGAAACCCTGTAGATGCTGTATTAAATACATTAAAAAACACCCCATTAGTTTAAGCTCATTGTTGAGGATTTCACAATGACTATGGGTGTCAGTGAGTTTTTGGTACTGGCATGGCTTCTATGGTAATAGTGGTATTATACATTGCAAAATAGCAATATAAAATTCATTGGACACCAAGAGAGGGTGAATAATCTCGTTGACATTTAGAGATCTTCTTTCCTACTTAGACTGAGTCTTTTGTAAGGATTGTTTCATAATGGGGCACAGAGCAGTGTAGGGGTGAGACAGAACCTGGTGCAGCGTGAAGCCAGTGAGCTGCTAGGTCACTCATCTAGAGCTTCTGAGCTTTGGCAGAGCAATTGATGAGGCAGATGGTGTCAATGGTAAGTCTAGTAATGGTCATGGGGAGTTTTTGAAGGTAGCCTTGACACAGGGACCTACGATGTAGGCTCTGAACGTCTACATAGAAAATGCTGAGATGCGGGTGTGTTTACAGAGTCCTGAAGGGTGGGCAGTGTACTTGGAGTTTTTCAGTCTTAACAGAGCACATGGAGTTGAAGCCTAGTGACTGTCAATGCAATAGAGACATTATTTAAAGAATCTAGGGCAGTTTGCTGTGTCAAAATCAGGAGCATCCTTTAGCTAATGGTAGCCATATCAGATGATTATACCAACAACTGATAAAAGTAATTTCTCAGCAAGTGCTTTGGATATGATTAGAAGATTCTCATGAGTGATTTGAAGTTCATTTATAAAATGAATTCTAGTTTTGTTTGTTATTTTTAATAATAACTCTAGTTACAATCCTGGTATGGGATTAAATTAGGTGTGACATTGAATAAGTTGTTCTACGCTGTACATTGGTTTATCTTTGTACCTGTAGAAAGATGAAATTGAGTTAGGTAATCTGTAAGACCCTTCTGTTACTGCTATAACTCTATGAAAGGCAAGTTTTCCTGCCTATTCTAGAAGACTGGATGAGCTCTGGACCAGGGAGCATAGCCCCTGAGCTTGCATGGTTGCTCTGTAGCAGAAAGACCACTTGTCCTCAAGCCTCTGGCATCTCCCATACTCAGAACTGAAGTATGAACATGATCTTCAGAAGAATTTTGCCTTTGGGACTGACCATAGGAAATGGCTGATAATTATTTTTATGTGTAAACCTTAAAATGTGTACATGTATAGAGGCTGTGTAAAGAAACCTTGTCCAGCACAACCTGCAGGGACTCAGCAGTACTGTGCTAGAAGCCACCCTGATCCAGGGCATCGTTACCTCTAGAGGTGGGTCCAAGAAAAAGCCTTGCAGACAGATAAAATGTCAT